TGTCCCTACATTGATGTTATCGCGCACATGTTCTGAAATTCTCAAGGCTAAATCATGTATACATAATGGGTACGTTTTACCTTAAAGTGCGATGCAATACAATTTATGTGCTAATCTTGTTGGCTTCTGATTTCCGAAGGTCCGTGGTTGAAGAACTAGAACTGGACGTTTAAAAACGTGATTTCGTGAAACAAAACATGAACAGCTGCAACAGTCGCCAGATCCTCATTGGAACAAAGAATGCCACGGCGGCATCAACGGCGTCTTCAGTTAGCAAACGCCAACCCAACATTCTGTATGCTTGTCCATACTTCATTTATGAGTCCCGAGCTATAGGATCATAAACAGTGCTATTGATGGGAAGTAAGGACATCGTTTTTAGTACCCAGATTGTTGTGCCATGATTTGTTTGGCACACGGTCTGAACTCAAACAAGTAGGTTTGAAATCTAATGACTAACAAGAGCGTTCGGGAAACAATCACTCCAGAGGACTACTACCCATCTTCATGTAAATCAGTTTCGAATATTTAGAAGAATTCATTGCCATGCAGTGTTGAGTGCGATGAATAATGGCTTCCGCAAGGTATATGCGATAACAACGACAGTGACTCTATAGCGCTAGTAAGAATCCAGCCGATAAAGATCACGGTGGTGGTGGTAGCGCAGTGGTTTAATCGCGTTCACCGGCGTGCCTTGGACTCCACGGTTCAATATTCGAACCCCGCTACCCAGCAAAGTTGGTGGTAGGTAACTTTACTGCCGTCCAGTTTAACACCACGCCTAACCTAGCGGTGGGTCCTTATGTAGTAAACCATTCCAATTCCTGGAGCTTATGTCACCGGTTTCCATCACTGAACAGCAGGCCTTGTGACTATGCGGTCCGTCACATCCGCTGTTCATCACACTAAGATGACAGACTCGTACTGAATATTACACCTAACAGTAATAAACACCAAAAAAATAAGCGATCCGTATATTTGCAGTTTTTTACTGCACACCCAAGTGTGACGAACAGCAGACGGGGAAAGCCCCATAGTCACGAGGACCCGCTGCCAGTGGTGGAAACCGGCAACCTAAGCCCAGGGACTTGGAGTGGCGAACCACATTAGGGCCCCAATAAATTAGGCGTGGTATTGAACCAGACGACAGCAGAGCTGCATAACACCAAAGTCGGGTGTCGGGGAACAATCGGATAACGAAGAAGGTGATTCGCACTACTAAAGTGAGTTCGTTTTAGTGCATATTAGGATCGGGTTTTCTTTCGAAAAACGGCAGTGACTCGGGTCGTCAGCACAACGATCTTCGACGGTGTTGGATGAGGGTCCGATCAGCCAAGGGGGGGGGGGNAACTCGACTGTACTTATTGATAACTTTTATTGATCGTGCTTCAACAGAAAGTGCTGTACTATTGTTTTCATTGATGCGTAAACTATTTTGCGGTAAACTAACATAAACTGTGCTTAATATACCCACTAATGATCTGACCATTTATTGTGCTTTGCGTGATCCACTCCGGCTCTCTCTCTCTCTGCCATTTTGCAAGCCACATTTCAGCCACCGTACTCTCATTGTTGGACGAGAGATAGGCCGCTCACTACTGCTTCGCTCGATAATCCGCAGTTCTCAATCCACGACTGCCAGCACACAACAAATGACTTGCTTAGTATAGATTATTCTGCTATCCTACCCAGCTGTTTCTAGGTCGACGACACAGGTTGAGCCGATGGAACCAGTGATTTCATACCGTGAATATCTATCGCAAAGATACCGTAGATTCTCACCCAACCCGATGAAATAAACACACACACACACACACATCTTGTCGATGCACCATCAGCTGTTTACAACTTTAGTTCTCGAGGCACAGACAGATTACAAATTTGCAACCGAAACACTGCAGAAAATCGAGCTCGCACCTAAAAAAACGTTGTTTATGCTCGACACACCCCGAAGACCTATAAGGAAGAGGACGGACACAATATCAATCAGTTCTCGTCCAGAAAATTTTAATTTTTGACAAAGGGATGTGAGTTAAAAAGCGGTTATCGGACCAGAACACACGACTGGATCAGTACGCGATGCATTCAGTTCAGGAATGCATGGTCGTACGATGTTTGCCGAGTTGGGTAGTGGGTGGTAAAAAGCCAAGCGCGGTCGGGGCTAAAACCTAACAGGAGTGTATAAAAACCCTAACCAGGAGACTGGGTCACTCACGTGGGTCGCGTTTGGCTCTCTGGATGGGGATATCGAGATCGTGGTGTTTGAAGAAACTACCTGATATGGCTGATATTCTGGCACTCGTGCATCTTCTCGATTTCTTTGCAACCTTAAGCCACTGAAATTCTCCATTCTTTCTTCAACTTTACTTTCACCTCACCTGCCTTTCTCCTACTGTTTCATCCAAATAGGCAGCAGCCAAAAGACTGCAACCAAAACCGGCGCACGAAAGTGCAAAGCTAAAAGTTATGTACAAACTGAAATTGAAAGCTGCACATGGTCGGGGAACCGTACACGAGAAGTAACTCGCACACACGTCAAATTGGACCTTGATGAGGTGTAACAACTTGCCAGATATTTGGAACCGGTTAAAAAACCAACTACAGTCACATGTGAGCACCAATGCTAATCAGTTGACTGAACCACTCAACATCTCCGTTCTGACAACTGTGGTACAACTATGTGGTGGTTTGTGGTTACTGCTATAGTTTCACAAGGCGGCGCTCAGTCGAGGGAAGTTCTACATTGCAGGTAACAGTAAGGGCATCATTAATTTAGCATACATATAACAGAAATCTCATTGGAAATATATCATCGCAGATAATACTGTCTAATTCAGTGATAACGCACTGACGATTCAAGAGTCGTTGAATCGTTTGACAATTGAGGTTACTCGTTATGGTATGTCCTTTGCACTTTCAAAGTGCAAAGTATTGCTGCAAGATTATATATATGTATATATATATATATATATATATTTATATTTTCTTTTTTTCTTTTTCATTTTACTTCCTTCTATTGAATATACAAAGATACAACTTTCAGATTTTCATACTGGGCAAAGAGAAAAGAAAATGATACAGCGTCAATACAAAAAATAATAGGTGTAGAAAAAAGAAATGTTAATAAAAATAAGTTGCATTTCAGCGGTTCGCCGAGCTTGGTAATGTGTTTGCAGACGTGGCATCATCACCAGCCGAGGTCAGTGCTTCAGTGCTTCTGAAGTGGCCACTGATGACGCGTTGGCAAGTAAATTGCCAAGCTTGGCGAACAGGGGCGAAATGAAATT